ACATAAAATGGGTGAATTTACAGTATGTAAACTATATCTCAATAAAGTTGTTTTATTAAAAAAAAAAAAGAATTCCTAGAGACACAGCCCCAAACAAGGCAAATACTCCTCTTGATCCCTAGAGTAGGAAGGGATTTTCTCCATCTGTGAAAAACCGTCATCCTTTATTTATACTTTGATGACTGCGATTACACATGAAAATCACAGTGGAAAGGACCAACCTGAGTAAGTTACAACTTTAAGGAAAGAAGTTTGCATTTCAATCAGGCCTTGACTTGAATGTGGCTAAGGGCATTTTACCTATGCTCTTTGCAGAAGGGACAATAGCCATACACGTTTTGTCCCCTTTGCCCCTTCCCTACCCAAATACCTCTCCCACTAGACTTTGACTTTTAAATATGTTTGGTTGTATTAGAGACTTTCATGAAAGCAGATTTGGGGCAAAGTGGGAAGAAAACATAAGGACCCTGACTACTTCGGGGCATATTTTAACTCCTAGACATGTTGGCCTACGGTGAGATATGGATCTTTCTAGTCTTTTCTCTAACAGGATGCAGGTAAATGCAGATAATAATTTATCATTAGGTATCCTATCTTTTAAGGAACATAATGACCACCATTGTCTAGGAAAGTAAACTCCTAGAGAGTTAGAGACTATGTTTAAATAAATCTTTGTGTGCTGTGCCTTAGTCACTTAATAACCAAAAACGATTATGGATATTCTGAAGTCCTAGGCTCTATCTCATTCAGATAAATTTTGCAAATATTTCACCTGAATGAATATCATTACTCTTTTAAAAGAAATTTAATGGAAACTCATTCTTTAATCCTGGGTTTTAACATTTAGCTTTCTATCCCTTTAAAAAACACTGCTTTATAAACTCTGACAAAGAACGAACGCAAAAGCACCTAAATGACCCTATCTCAAACGCTCACGATATGCCATTGCTGGCAATTTAACTCTCACGGTGAACAGACTTTCTCAGAATGAAGCACAACATAGTTCCTGTCAATCTGTTTATGTTATTTTTCATTAATATTAGTCAAACATGGTACAGAGAATTCAAATGTCTAAAACCATCTGAAAGATGCAAAACATTACAATCTCAGTTGATAAACTGGAATTGAAAGTAGAAGATGAGAACCGGCCAATATAGATGAGAATTCTGTACAAAGAGTACAAAGAAAAAGAAAAAGAAAAAAAAAAAAAACTTCCCCTCAGAAAAGTCACCTTCTGAGAACTTATCCTGTAACTCTCCTCTTCTCTTCACCATTTTTCCAAAAATTAAAAAATAGCTTTACAACATCAAAGATATTATGCAGAAGTAAACAACAGGTGAAGGAAGCAGCTCTGGACTTAAATAAGGCAAAAAGATAAAGTATTGTCAGTATATCTCAAGGTTTATTTTAGTCTTACCAGGGTCAATCACACTGACATAGCAGGTGACATTGTAAAACAACGAGACAAGAGTCTAAAATCCAAACAGCAAAGCAGTGCTTGATTTTGGAGACACACTTCAATGCTTCTAAGAGTTGAAGGCATCATCCTCTAGTGACTTTTAAGGATATCAAGTGATAAGATGCAGTGTTTGGGAAGTCTCCAGCTATCCAGAATGATTTGTTAATGCTTTTCCCACAAGTATACTGAATACGATCAGCCAGAATCTGAAAATAAAGGTTTTGCTGGAGAGTATTCTGCCCAAGCATGACATTTTTACAAGTGGCAAGATTCCCGGAAAAATCGTTCACTAATCAAAACCCGGCATTTTCAATAAATGTAGTATTGAGCCTCAAGGTAACACACAACTAAACTTGTATACTGGAGGAATCAGACGGAGAAGTGTGCAGAACCCTAGATCAATACTTCTGCTTAAAAAGTCTAGAATTTACTTACATAAGAGCTGATGTTCTGAGTTAAGGGGTCACAAGACGTTAAAAGTCAAGTTTTCTGGCATCATCCTCTTTTCATAAGAGAAATTATTTCACTTCATTCTGATATTTTCTTAAAGACATAGGCCAGGACAAAGAAATCCCTTTTTCCATAAAAGTATTAGGTAATTTTACTTGGTTGATTTAAGTATGCCTCTATAAATAGTATTTAAAAATATTTAAAGTATTGAAAATAGAGCCAATCAGTTAAAATTGTCAAAATCTACAAGATAAATATTTGGAATATATATATATATATCTGTCATCTAGATAGTGCATAACTTTGGCTATTAAGAGTTTTTTTTTTTAATAGAGCAGTGAAATAGTACTCAATAGTTGAACAACTTCATATTTGAACTCAGCAGTTAACTTTATTTCTGCCAGCATAAATAGCTAGTGAGACTGGAAAACTGTAGCATCTCTAATTATTCAGTTCACTCCACATTTTGTAAATTATCTTAGTAATTCCATTGGGGGGAGTCGCTCTACTTTCTGGGATCCATTGAACTTTTCTTGACCAGATGTCTACAGAAATTCCTTTGCCTGCAGTCTCTAGCTGATTTGATGGATGATATCTAAACAGTCTCTGAAATGTTAAGTTTTAGGATTTTTTTTCCTATTCTAACCATCTCAACTTTTAATTTTCTGATGACACAGAAAACCAGTAAAAGCAAACATCAGGCAGATTTGAACATCAGCTATTGGTATCAGTTCAGTTCACGTATTAAAAGAATCCAGATGTTGTCACCTGGTACTGTCAAAGGACTCACAAGCGAATACTTAAGTTCAACACCCATAACATTCACAGCACTTTCAAGTCCCACTCCCCGTGCACTCCTCCCACTCTCCAACTTGTGTGCCAATTCGTCTTCTTGCAGACATGGGAAAACTACATATTTCTTCTGCCTTGGAGATCGATGCAGAGAAAGGCATCAGCTGTCAGTCATCTTATGTCGTCCGGGAAGAGGCTCGGAAATGTGTTTGTCTTGAGTCTTCTACTTTTATTTTCCCAATCCGTTATGAAGGTTGGGACGGAAAGATGCCTGAGTCTCAAACGTATTAGCCTGACATTGTGCTATTCCTCTCTAAGAACCCCATTAATTCCCACTAAAAACGAGAGTGATGTGAACTCCGTTTCGCAGTGCAACCTTCTGTAACCCCCTAACACAAACACAGGAGGTGGGATGGGGAGGGGGTCAAGGGAGGAGGAGGGAAAGGGGTCGGGAGAAGAGACTCACCGCTCCTGCCAGTTCCTCGGTCAGGCACAACGTAACAAGGAGCAGCCACAACCTGAAACGGGAGGAAGGGTTAGTAACATGGGCTCTCTAGGCTCCAGGGTCCTGCGTCTGTCCGTAGACCCCAACCCCTTTTTGCTGCCTGCTCCCACTTCCTCTGCAATGACAGAAGCTAAAGTATAGTCCTAGTCTGGCAAAGTAGCCCAAAGTAGGAAAGAGGTGGGGAGCTCGGGGCAGCAACAGCTCACCCAGGGTGCATGCTTGCGGCTCCTCCGGAGTTGGGTCCCGGGAGACTGCTAAGCGGCTCCGCGGCCCCGGCTCATCGGGGCTCCGCTGATGCTTGGCGGCTGCTTCCTTATTCAGGAGGACCGGGTAGGGGGCCGAAGTGGCTCACTTCGGAAGAAATTAAACTCAGCTCCTAGATGAAAAGTGCCCCAAAGGGAAACACGCTCAGCGGTGCCCGCTACAACTTGCCGCACTCAAAAGATAGTTCCATGCACCAAGAGAGGAAGGAATGGAGGGGAAGGGGGTGGGGCTGTCTGCTGTCAATCATCCCCCCTACCTTAGGCAGCCGATCGTCTTTTTCACTTGCAGGCACCTCTACGTGTAACATTCCCACGCATCTCCACAGCTTCACGCAAAAGCCCATTGAGACCTGTACGCTAAGATGTAAGCAACTATGCATCATACACTTCCATAAACTACTGTTAACTGTTATACATATATAGATTAATGCATACGACATCTACATAAACAAATGGGCCCCAAAGTGTCCTCGCACACTTGCCCCAATGCATACAACACTCATTCTAATTGATTGCATACTAAGCTCTTGGGGTGATGGTGGTTTCTGGAGTTGTAAATCTACCCTAAGATGAGTAGAACTTAAGGATGAGTGGGCCCCCATGAAATATCTCCAAAGCCTTGAAATACTCTCAAGTGGTAAATTCTAGGGTCTGAGATAACAGAAATGTTCTGAAGAATTCTTCAGCAAATTCCTGAAAGATCCTCCAAGGAGTCTACATAAAGTATTTTCTGGGCCTGGTGGTACTTTAAAAAACCTATATACCAGAATTACCGAGATAATGTTCAAGTCTATTTGGGAGACATCAATTCAACTGCCACTAACTCCGTAAAAATATTTCCGATTAGGTGTTTGTGTTAGTTTTAAGGAAAATTGCACTAAAGTTATTTAATTTCCTGCCCTAAATCCCTGTGAAACACAACTGCAATGAGAGTCAATACCTTTTATGTTAGTTCAATATAAGAAGTAAATATTAACCATAGCATTCAAGGTAGTAAATAAAAAGATACGATAACATTCAACCATATAATAATTACTAATATCTACTGAATGCTCCCAAATCTTATATGGATATAACATGCATAAACTCTTAGCACGCATATACGTATGTTCATTTTCTTAATTCTTTGGTTACAAGAATATATTTATTTATATAAATATATTTATATATTTCTAATATTGTCGCATATTCTGTTGTATGGAGGATCTCTGTCCTGCGAGCAGGTGGAAGGCAAAGAACACCAGCAGCCCAAGGCGCAGCGACCAAAATTTGTTTCTAATCATTAACAATAAAAAGGGCCGTTCCTCTGAGATCCATCCGCTAAAAAAGTAGTCCTAGCTTAGGTCTATTTGTAATTGGCTTTGGTACTCACACCAATGAGAGTGGGACTGGGCAGGGAAGAGTAGTATCGACGGAAGGTGCAAGTGGACGAATAGAAAAGCTTCCCGGTTGGGCTCATGGCGTTCAGTCGACTGATCTGGAAGTTTCCCTCCCCCAAATAACTGAGCGTCACTCCCTCGCAGGTTGCTGGTGCAGTCTAAAGCTGTGGCGGAGTGATCCTCAAATTCCCCAGTGCTGGTGGGGAGGAGGCGGTGTGGGAGAAGAGAGGGAGGAAAGTAGATCTGTGGGACTTGAGTGAGGAAAAAGTTTGCAAGTCTGGACAGAAGGGAAAAGTGCTTCCGAGAGACCGGCTTTGGGGAGGGGAGGGGGGAGGGAAGAATAGCTGCTGCTTTTTTTTTTTTTTTCCTCCACTCTTAAAAAGCTTGTTTCTGCTCACCCAAACCGACCGGCACAATTGGGACACCCTCGCTGTCCCTCACCGGCTCTAGGTCTCTCCCAATAAACCCTCAAGATTATGTCAATTGGTCAGAGCCAGCCAGGGATTTCGTGCGGGTGCTGAAGGAGCTGCGGGAGCCGGAGAAGAATGAAACTGCGTGGAGTCAGCCTGGCTGCCGGCTTGCTCTTACTGGCCTTGAGTCTTTGGGGGCAGCCTGCAGAGGCTGTGGTAAGTCCTTCCTTCTACCTCCCCCCCGCCACCCCATCACCTTATTCTCACGCTGAAATCACTTTTTGTCCCTTTATCTTCCTTTCTCTTCGGCCTTGGCTGGGGAATTCAAATTTGCCTTCACTTGTTTAGGAAGAAACATTATTTACAACGCTGGTAACTCAAGCCTTCTGAAGTCCAAAGGAGAGATTGAAGTGTTTAAAAATAGGGCTGCTTGCTTTCCTGCAGCTAGCTCCTCCGGGGGCAAGAGCAGAGCCTGGCGTAGGGGACGCATGTTAATAGATCACTGGGATCTGGTGGGTATTTAAAACTTTTCATCCCCACCCTCTGCCCTTGGGTGTTTCCCTGCCTGCCGGCTAATCTTTTCACTAGTTGTAGCCAACCCACGCACTCTTTAAACTTTGTCTATAGTTTAATATTTTGGCTTTTCTAAGATCCAGCTTCCATCAAAGTGTTAAGCGTGCCCATGAAGTTCTTCCCTTTTACCCTTTCCTTAAGCAACGTGAACCTACCCTCACCTCTGGTCAGTAAAGCCTCTGTAGAGATTGTGTTCCCCTTTTGACATCCTTATTGCACATGCTCAGGTAACATACTAAGAAGAATGAGGTAAAGACGGCTGTCCTCAAGCTTCAAGTCTTCCGTGTCTTTTTTTTTTTTTTAAATAAAGTTCTGGGTTTTTGTTTACGTTTTTTTTAAGCTTACTAAGGCACCTGAACAAATTGAGAATTTGCCCATCACCTATTTAAATGAAAATAATTCTCTTTTTTCAAAGGAGAATGAGGTTCTGATTTAAAGGAGAGTGGAGGAGGATGCACATGTGAAATGACAGAGCAAAAAGTTCCACTCAGTTTTAGCAATGTCGAATTAAAACCCCAGTATATCTCCTAGAAGAGTATCTGGGTAGTCCCACCCACTATCTTTTGGGGGATGAGAGACAGATGTAAAGGAATGAATGGCTTATCAGAGAAAATGTTATTCAGCCTGAAGCTCATAGTCCTTAATTTCAGTTAACCTCTAAAGAATTAAGTATGTGACAAATTATTTAAAAGTTATATTTGAGTGATCGTAATGGATGGTTTTAAAAATACTTTAATATGAGATCATGGCTTAGGCCTTCATATGGTTGAGTGACTATCAATTCTTTTTATGCAGTTGCTATGTTATAGCTTGTCTGGGTCCACCTTTAAGTTAGCTGTCTAGCTTCTCTATACACTCAGCATGCCTCAGATTACGTTGCCCTCCTATCCTCCAGAAAGTGTGTACTCAAGGTATGAAAACTAACTTTCATATTATTCTAAGCACAACATATTATGATAGCAAATCTGCTGAAAAACCATACATATCAAATATTTTTAATTACGCTTGTCATACTTTTTCCTCCTTCAAAGTAGGTAGATAACTTAAAATAGCTTTTTTGATGCAAAGCATCTTAATAAGGTAAGGTTTAGCCACTCAATAGTGCTACAGACCCTTGGATAAAACCACAGTTGTGTTGTTGAAAATAATTACTTTTAAAAACGTCTTCTTTGTGCTTACTGCTTGTGGCATTTGGCCCAGGGGCAAAGATTTCATGGCTGTTGGATTAAATATTTCTAATTTTTTTCTTTTGATGATGCTTTTAATAAATGTGCGCCAGATACCAATCATACAGGTATGTATAGCAATACTAGTCATCAATTTATATTAAATCAATTTATATTAAAAATGATATTTCTGTTTATGATTGACAAAACTTGGGAGCAAGCTTGGTTTCTTGGACTCTAACGATTGAATGTTCGTGAAGAAATTACAGAAGATACTGTGCAGTTTTTTTCCTTTTGTCTTCTATATAATTTTTAAAGAACATTTTATATCCCATTTTCCTGTCATTAGGTTATTGTGCTTCTATTAAAACTAGGGGTTTGTTTTTTCTGCTTCACACATCAATATCCTAGTTAGATGAATGTTTTAATCATCACAAAGATATGAATGGTATCTGCTCTCCATACCAGTGCTGGGGATATTGGTGACCTTTTCTAGAGTAAACTGGATGATAGTGGGGCTGGTTGTTGACTGAAGTAGTCTAATATTGGAACTTTTATATCAGGAAGAGCATTACTACTTAAATTGCTTTAATTTTTCATAGTTAAGTGATTTCTTTATCTCTGAAGTCATGCCAAATTGAAATATCACAAATACGTGGAAGAATTTTTTAGGTAGAGTGTTTATTAGATGAAATAAAGTAACCCTTATGCTGAAAGGTTAGCAATAAGAGAAAAAGGCAGCTTTAGGTTGGAAAGGTCATTTCTACTGATGGAAATAATGTATTTTTATGTAAAGGTGATTATATCTATACTGACTTGCTGTCAGTAGGATATGCACTTAGATTTATGGATATGGTGTGTAGAATTATACTACTCCTACTATACAAATGTTAGTAAGTTTTTTTTGTGCAGTAGAGTGGATAGGTTTCTCTAATTCAAATGTACTATCTCTCTTGTGATCAGTGGCAACAACTCATTAAGGGTAGTAGTGTGGTTTGTGGCCATGGGACAGTTTTTCCTCTATGAAGTATACTGCTCTATAGGAAGAATTTGTCAGCATTGTTATCATAACTTCTATTCTTGAGTATTTACTATGTGCCAGGCACTGTGCTACTATGGTAATATACATTATCATATTTAATGTTCACGACAGACCTGTGAGGTATATACCATTGTTATTCTCACTTTACACATCAAGAAGCTGCAGATCATAGAGGTTAAGTAACTTGCCAAAAATCACATAGGTGGTAAGTTGTGGAGCTGGAAATTTGAATCCAGGCAATTTGACTCCAAATTCTTTACCCTTAATGACTGTCCTATACTGCCTCCTTTGTATGTGGTCTATAGAGATTTATTTGCTGTTCAGAGTATTTGGATCTCTGCTACCTTTTATTTTGTTGCTGGGGGGGGGACGGACACAGGAGGTGAAATAGAAATGATAATGTGGATTACATCTCTTCCTGCTGATGTTAGGAGAAGCAGTGTGGTGTAATAGAAACAGCTCTGGGCTTAGAATAAAAAGACCAGAGTTTGATCTCTATATGTATGTCTAAAGATAGATAATTTAAAAGCAATCTAGAATCAATTGCTCATTGCAGGTTGTATGATTTTATACAATCACATATATAAAAAGTCAGATTTATAAAACAACTATAATTTTTGGTAGATGGTTATTTTGAAGAAAGATTTGCCTTCTTATTCTTTTAATTAGTCAGTTTCCATAATAATTTTAAATATACTGAACTTTTCAGGAGCATATCTATTGTGATAAAAGAGGGTATGTATATATGGTGGCACACTTTGCTTAAGCTGCCCAATTTTCTTTTGTTGTTTTTACTAATTTACCTACCCATCATATCCAATTCTATTCACTCCACTAGCTATAAAACTTCAGTCTTGCACGTATATTTATATGTATATGTATCTGTCCTGTGACTGTGTAACAGTGTGTACATTTATTTCCTTTGTTTTTATTTGGCTTTTGATGTCTATATATGCAATGCATAAGACTCTTTACCTTGAATTAACCTTGATAACTTAGTTAAGGTTGTGTCTGCCAGGTTTATCTACTGTAAAGTCACTATGTTTTCCCTTTGTAATTACAAAGTGAGCAGATCTTGTGAGACACGTAGGGTGATACGTGAGACAATGTAAATATCCTGTTTTTCATCATTCAAAATAGTTTTGCCCACTAATTTTAGCATCTATTGAGGATTCTTGCCTGAATAATTATTGCTGTGACATTTGCCAAATGGTGATTTTCAGTTTTCAACATTTTCTGCATATTTTAGTTTGATTCTAATGTAACAAAAAACTTTACCTTCTCTGATGTATATTTAATTAGTTGTGTATTTATAGCAGTATGGACTTATGGATATTTGTTTAATTCTATGAGTTATAATGAATTATGATATTTTTACTATTTTTTGCTGAAATTACCCCAGATTTGGCCAATAGGCATCACTTCCAGTTGGTTCCTGTGTCCTTTCAACATGTCCCCGTCTTTTTTTTGAGCATTCCCTTGCCTTCCGGCACCACAAGATGTTCTAGGCTCATTTTCGACTTTCCCTGCCCCAATCCTGGAATCAGCCATTTCTCTAAGAGCTATGATTCTTTTTATTGGATAATGGTGTTTAGAGATCAAGATCTGGTTGCTTGGCAAGCTCATTGCTACTGAGGTTTCATTGCTTCTACGCCTTCTCAGCAGACAAGACTAGGAAATATATGTATATATACACAGACACATACCCACTTCCATATCTGTTTCTTACAATCTCTCTTTGTATATATATGTATTAAAAAACATGAATTTGTACTGATACCTCTAATTTCAGGCCAAGACCAGAGAATAAACATAATCTTTGATGTTGTGGGATCTCACTGCTTTCTGGTATCTCTCCTCAGACACGTTTTGTGGGCTGTGAAGAGGTCTTTTACAGAGTCTTTAAGAGCTTGACTTCTGGAGTCAGACCTGGAATCTGACTGGTAGATGTGTGACCTTCAGCCAAGTAGTAACCTCTGAGCCTTAATTTTCTCATCTGCAAAAGGGGGCCAGTGGTACCTATGTCACAGATTGTTTTGAGGATAAAATGAGAGAAGTTATGTAAAGCATTTAGAATAGTAGTTGGCACATAGTATGCTCAATAAATTTTAGATTTCATTATTGTCATTACAATTGTTTATTGATGCGTCATTTCCTATTGCATTAGCTCTCAAATTCTCTGCCTGATTTTCAAGGCCTATCATGATCTTTCCCTTCATCCAATCTTATTTTTCATTACATTTTACAATATATTCCCTCCGTTCTAACCTAGGTGAGGTTTCCTATAATCCTTCGAGCACTACATACATATTTTGGCTCTCCATCTTGATTAAAATCCTATGGATCCAAAACTTTGGTCAATTTCAGCATAGTGTTTACATTCATTCAGCAGATATTTATTCAGCGACTCATAAGTACTTAAGAATTGTATTTAT